CATATAATGTGTGACATACAATTAACAAATTCATATAGCGGAAAAAATCGAAAAAGTTTCGGATGAAGAAGTGAAAGAAATTTAAAAAAAAAATTCAAATTGGATAGTAATCAAATAAATATAAATAATTGAATATCTGTTTGACTAATTTTTATTGGTAGTAGCCGTATATGTGAACAACCAATCTGTCATTGCTATTTTTTGGGAAATGACATTATTCATCAATAATGATGAGTTCTTTGTTCATATTATATCACAGAAAAATTCAACCGAAGCAAATACCGGATGATATGAATACAGCGGGAAAAACACCTGGAAGGAAATACCGAATGATGTGAATGCAATCGTTTGAACGACATGCGGTGATGGCGGTAATCGGAAAGCATTTAATTCCGAACAAAACGAATAAAAATCAGCATTTGACGAATGTCGACAACGATATAATTGTTTAATTGCTACATCACGATTATTGTACACATGTCGAAATACAGTACCAAAGCCACCTTTACCTAAAATTGTTAACCAAATGCTGAACGACACTTTAAAATTTATTGAATATAAATTTGAAATAAGTATGAACTTGAATATTTTATCATGAGATAGGAGGTAAATTCTTTTCAAAGACTGGCAAAAACGAAGTTAAGATATCAGTAGTCTATTATCATTTACTTATTTACGTTAATGTTAAGTTAACCAAAATGCCAAAAATTTCGGATTAAAATTAAATCTAATTGGTCACATTTACAATGTGTATTAACTATCATATCTGTCGGAATAAACAATATTTGAATAAAATTTTTTTTCAAAAAATTATGATTGACAATAACAAAACCAATTCGATAATTGTTTTTGTCGTCAGCTGAAGTTGTTCGATTTGTAACAGTTAGCGCTCTTTTATTTTTCCTGTCAATTACCGTAATATTTAGCAATTTCAAAAAAAATCTTCTTTATGATAATTTAGTTAACTATTCATTGTTGCGATTTATTAATAATTTTAATGCAAATGGTATACCATAAACAAAATATCATAAACAATATAGAATTTACTAATTTATAAAATCATTTGTTAACTGTTGCATAAATGACGAATAACAGTTAGCACAATTTGAGGAAAACCGCTGCAAATAAATGATTGATCAGATTTTTATGTTTTAAATACTGTTTTAGTAAGAACTAACTGATAAAGTTGTTTTCTTTCCACAAATACTTGCATCAAACGTAATGGACTTAAAATTAAGGCACGACATCGACCGCTCAGTTTTATTTTTGATGATTGTTCCTTTAAAAAAGGTAAACCTTTTTTTTCTTGTAAAGAAGGAAAATTTTTTTCTTTGAAAAAGCAGCAAATTTATTTGCATATTCTTTATTTACGATAAAATCTTCGCTAATTATGCAAATAAATTTCGAATTAGCAACAAAATATCCTGAAATTGAATAATCTCATGATAATTTACAAAGAAACTATGAAAATAATAATGAATTATTTGAGAAAATTAAAAAACTTTTCTTATCAGACTCTATTTGATAATTAAGTTCCTTTTTTACATGACTTACTTTCAATGGTTAATGGAAAGAGTTACTTGAGTTACTTGAATGATTAATGCAAAATATTAATAAGTTGTGGAAGCTATTTACTTTTTATTAATAATCCACCTAAATTTATGATTAAAATTTGAGGCAACAAATATTGAAATTTTCCATGAAAATGAAAGAATGAAAGAGAAAAGGTAGAATATCTATAAAATAATTTCTTTATACAAAAGTTACCAGAATTGGACTGTCTCCTGAATACATTACTGCTTTTTCAAGACGTTTTACAGAACAGTATGCTATTCTAGTTGGTGAATCTGAAACTTAGTTTAATTATAATAATTAATGAAAATTTTGACCTTATTCATAATAAAATTGAATGGCAATTTGACTATGAAATCGTTCACTTACCGATGTTATTCCGTAATTTCATCAGTGAATTGAAATTTGTAGAATATCTATAAAACAATTTCTTTATACAAAAGTTACCAGAATTGGACTATCTCCTGAATACATTAAAATGTTTCACCCAATGTTTTTATGTTTTTTTCTCATTTCTCTCTGCAAATTCGTTCCATCTCAGCAATAAATATATCACACTTAAAGTTTAAGTTATCAACTATACCAACAACGATTCACCCATTAAACTATTAAATCATCTATGAAACAA